TTCTGAAGAATATTCCATGTGCACTTGAAAAGAATGTGTCTTCTGCTGTTTTGGGATGGGATGTTCTGAATATATCTGTTAGGTCCATCTGGTCCAATGTGTCATTCAAAGCCAGTGTTTCCTTGTCAATTTTCTGTGTGGATGATCTATCCATTGATGTAAGTAGGGTGTTAAAATCCTCTACTACTATTGTATTACTGTCAATTTCTTACTTTATGTATGTTAATAGTTGCTTTATTTATTTAGGTGCTTCTATCTTGGGTACATAGATATTTACAATTGCTATATCCTCTTGTTGGATTGTTCCCTTCATCATTATGTAATGTCTTTCTTTGTCTCTTGTCACAGTCTTTGAAAATCTATTTTGTCTGATATAAGCATTACTATCACAGTTTTCTTTTTGCTTCCTTTTTCATGGTAAACATTTTTACATGCCTTCACTTTCATCCTACATTTGTCTTTAGGTCTGAAGTGAATCTCTTGTAGGCAGCATACAGGTGGATTCTGCTTTGTTATACTTTCAGTCACCCTGTGCCTTTGATTGGAGCTTTAGTCCCTTCATATTTAAAGTAATTATTGATAGGCATGTACTTATTGCCTCCACTCTTCTCTCAAGGCTAGTGAGTATATTTATAATGTTAATTTGAATTCTGTATCAAGCACATTGCTCATCTTTGTTTCATTTAGCTCTTTTGTTGTGGTTTTGTCATGTTATTTCATTTAGGAAATATTTCTCTGTCTCCTCATTTTGTCTAACTCTGTGTTTGTCTCTATGTATTAGGAAAGTCAGTTATGTCTCCTGATCTTAAAAGTAGTGGCCTTATGAAGAAGAGGTCCTGTAGTGCCCTACTAGTGCAATGTCCTCTCTTTGTTACTTGTTTTATGGTTGCTTTTATAGTTCTTCTCTTGCTCTCTTCCCCTGTGGTTTGATAGCTTTCTTTAATGACATGCTTGGATTTCTATTTTTTTTGTGTCTATTATACGTTTTTGTTTTGTGGTTAGCATTAGGTTCATATGCAACATTTTATGCATATAGCTATCTATATTAAGTTGATGGTCATTTAAATTTGAGCCCCTTCTAAAACCCCTTTTATTCTTCCACTTTGTTTTATGTATATGATGTTATACTTTACGTCCTTTTATTTTGTGAACCCTTGACTGGTTTTTGTAGATGTAACTGATTTTACTGCTTTTGTGCTTTAACCTGGGTATTAGTTTTATAAGTGATTATTCTACTACTTTGATTATGTTTGTATTTACTTATGAATTTTTTTCCCTTTGAGATTTTCTTACTCCTGATTGTAGCCTTTTCTTTCACTCCAAGATTTCCCTTTAACATTTCTTGTAAGCCTGGTTTAGTGGGGATAAACTTCTTTAACTTTTGTTTGCCTGGGAAACTTTTTATCTTTTCTATTCTGAATGATAGCTTTGCTGGGAAGAGTATTCCTGCGTTTTTGATTGTTTTGTTTTGTTTGAATATATCATGCCACTTTCTTCTGACTTGTAAAATTCCTGCTGGAAAATTAGCTGAGAGCCTTATGTGGTTTCCCTTGTATGTCACTGTTTTGTTTTGCTGATCTTAACATTCTCTATCACTACTTTTTGCCATTGTAATTATTATGTGTCTTGGTGTGGACCTCCTTGGGTTAATTTGTTGGGGGCTCTCTCTACCTCCTGGATCTGTATATCTGTTTTCTTTCCCAGAATAGGTCAGTTTTCAGCTATTATTTCTTCAAATGAATTTTTCTGCCCTCTTATCTCTGTCTTCCCCTTCTGGGATTCTTAGAATGCAAATGTTACTATGCTTGATGATGTCACTGAGTTCCCTTAACCTATTTTTATTTTTTATTATTCTTTTTTCTGCTCATCTTGGTTGCATTTACTCTGTCTTCCAGATCAATGTTCTGTTCTGCTCCTCTAGTGTACTATTTATTGTCCTCTGTTCACCAGAACCAAGTACTTCATGGGTGTCTCCCATGTAGGTCATGTGTATCCTACTATTGTAGCTGAGTTTCATTTGCCTTCAGTCCAGTCGGCTGCAATGGCCCACTTTACCTGTTGTGGGTACACTGGGCAGGATTTTGTCTCTGTGCTGTTAAGGTGCTAGTCTGGGCCTGCCACAGTCCTGTAGTTGGGCAATGTCAGCAGTCACACCAGATGCTTGCCCTTAATCCATCTTGCATCTGCTGGGACTGTAGTCACACCAACTTTCAGGGCACTCTGCTTGCCTTGTCTTTTGAGAGACTTTCCTTGGTAGGCTATGCAGGCAGCCATACCAGATGCCTGACCCAGTCGGATTGATCAGCAGGGGCACTCGCTGTACTGACAACTAAAGGTTCTGTTCCTGGGACTATGGGCACATTGGTATATGTGGTTATCTTCCCCTTTCCCAGGGGCAGGAGTCACTTTGAAGTGGCTCAGGTCCCTGCTGGAGTTGTTTGCAGGGTGTGTGGGGGCAGGAGCTGCTTTGGAGGGATGAGAAGGAGATATCCACAGGAGAGCATGGAGGTGGGACATGCAATGCTAGGAAAATAAGTGTATTCTTATTGATTCCTGCTAGTGTCCAGCTATCTAGGATAGGGATGGGGGAGGAATGGTGCCCACAAGCACTTTTGTTCTTGGAGAAGTCTCCTAAAGCTTCCTGCCCTTCCAGCACGCATTCTGAGATTAGTAAATAAATCACCTTCAGCATAACCCAGATGCTTCTCAAACTGCTATTTCCATGCTGTATCTCAGCCAGGTTATTTGTTATGCTGGCTCTTTAAGGACAGGGACTCAGTTTTTTATGGCTCTCTCAGAGCTAAGCCCCCTGATTGTTAAAGTACCCAAGTTAAGCCCTGATAACTGTAAATACTTGTGGTTAGGACTCACTGGTTTTCAAAGCCAAATGCTCCCAGTGCAGGCCCCCCATACCTGGAGGGCCTGGTGCAGGGTCTGATCCTCCTGCTCCTCTGTCCTTGTGGTGCCCCTCCCATTTGTGGTTAGTCTTGATAGGGGTTTGGTTCCCAACTGTGTCTCTGTCCCTCCTACCCTTTTTGATGTGGTCTCCTCTCTACAGTTAATTGTGGAAAATTTTCTGCCAGTCTTCAGGTAGCTTTCTGGGTTAGTCGCAGTGATGTGGCTGTTATCTCAGTGTGTCCATGGGACGAGGTGAGCTCAGGATCCTCCTACTCTGCCATCCTCCCTGGGAGTTCCTAGTTGCCTTTGATCTTGATCAATTTGGGGGCCTTCCTCTTCTCCATGGTTAGGTACTCTTTTTGTGTTTTAAAGGCTTTTTCATCCATGACAGTCTCACTTTTCTTGATAAACCATGCACAACTGATCCATTGATTTACTTAAGTTTATTTTAATCTGCCATTTTGATTTGCATTTTTGTATTTCCTGTTCATGTCCCACATATATGTTGGGTCTCCAATACATATGCCTGGAAATAATCTCTAAGTTTTCTGTGTATAAGTTATACCCTTTCAGGTAACATAGTATACCAATTTAAATTGCTGTTTAGTTGAATAATTTAATTAGTTCATTTTTCTCAAGAAATTCACTATATGCATAGTAGAAATTTATTGACTTTACAAAAAGAGTTTACAATGTACTAGTATTCTATTTAATAGTTATTGTAAGTTATCTTTAGGCTTTATATATAGTTAATGATCTAAATTAGAGTTAAAAAAATTGTATTCTGAGCAGTGGTAAGCAGAGTGTTGTTTAACTAGATATAATTCCGGTAAGGAGTGAGCCATAGCTGCTATGGAGATGACCAAAGGCATGACCAGAATATTTGATATCCCTGTAATGCAGAAAGCCCAGATTGTTGTGTGCTGATAAAAAAGCTACATAGGACTGCAGCTGCTACCTTAAAGCTGGAGCTGAGAAAGGCTCTCACTGCTGATGTAGGCCACTGACACATGCTATACATATTTCCACAGACCAGCCACAGGTGACCCAGCTGGTTCCTAAGAGGCATTAAATTTAAATGTCAGACTGATTAGCAACTGTATGTGTAGAAATACATGTGCTCTATTGGTGTGCATGTGTGAGTATGCCTGTGAGCATGAGTGTGTCTCAGGGGAAAAGGGGCATGGAAGAGATTATAGTACAGCTGGCCAAAGAAGTTGTATTTTCCATGACTGCTTTCATTTGAGGGTGGGGCTTTATAACCACACCCTCTAATAGAGCCAGCTCGGCAGTTTGTTGTATACAATTTTTCTGTATCATTTTAAATTCTGCATCCCAAAACATTTGTGCTTGCATCCTCTGGCTCTAAATAAATCTCCTATTTTCATACCCCCACCACAGCAGTTGGCCAACTGATACTTCAGAATAGCATTAGATGGCCAAATAAGTAGCACCATCTGCTGCAATTTAGAGAAATCCTCAGTGGTGCTATGACAGCTGTCTGGTTCTGAGTCCTGAACACTAGAATTCATTTGTCAGAGAGGACATATATCCAGTGTTAGAATGGCCATTTTCTACAAAAGGAATAATTTTTCTAGCAATACAGTACCCTATTTTTTATGGAGGTCAGACTTTTGGAAACCACTGCCTATTCTTCAAAATATAGACCCAAATGTGAATTTTGGCAAAATAGTCCTCCTGAGCTATTAGACTTAAAACCCAAACTCTCAAGCCATGCTTTAATGTATGAAAAGTCATTACACCCTCTCTGAGTGCCTAATTACATTTATTTAATACACAGTCCTTAATAAGCTTGATTATCTGGTTTGTGAGCATAGAGTATCATAGAAGCTGCAAGCTAGAATTAGACATGGTAGGGTTATAAGTGACTCAAACTCAATAATTAGAAGTGGAGAATCTGGTGAATTACTAAGTAGAAAATATGAAAATGCAGACCATGATTTTATACATGTTATAATGACATACTTATGTATTCATTCATTTAATCAATATCTATTTACTATGACCCAGGCACTTTTCTAAATACTGAAGTATACAGAAGAATAAGACAAGATTCTTGCACCTAAAGAATTGGAAGTCTAGGAACTTTCCAGAACGCTCGGTGAGACGCGGAGGAGCGGTGGCTGCCCGAGCTGCGCCCAGCAACGCGCTCCTTCTCGCTCCCCACACCGGCCTCGGCCCTCTCACCAGCTGTAGAAAATGGTGAAAGAAACCACTTACTATGATGTTTTGGGGGTCAAACCCAATGCCACCCAAGAGGAATTGAAAAAGGCCTACAGGAAACTGGCCTTGAAGTACCACCCTGATAAGAATCCAAATGAAGGAGAGAAGTTTAAACAGATTTCTCAAGCTTACGAAGTACTCTCTGATGCAAAGAAAAGGGAATTATATGACAAAGGAGGAGAACAGGCAATTAAAGAAGGTGGAGCTGGTGGTGGTTTTGGCTCCCCCATGGACATCTTTGATATGTTTTTTGGAGGAGGAGGAAGGATGCAGAGAGAAAGGAGAGGTAAAAATGTTGTGCATCAGCTCTCAGTAACCCTAGAAGATTTATATAATGGTGCAACACAAAAACTAGCTCTGCAAAAGAATGTGATCTGCGATAAATGTGAAGGCCGAGGTGGTAAGAAAGGAGCAGTCGAATGTTGTCCCAATTGCCAAGGTACTGGAATGCAAATAAGAATTCATCAGATAGGACCTGGAATGGTTCAGCAAATTCAGTCTGTGTGCATGGAGTGCCAGGGCCATGGGGAACAGATCAGTCCCAAAGACAGATGTAAAAGCTGCAATGGGAGGAAGATAGTTCGAGAGAAGAAGATTCTAGAAGTTCATATTGACAAAGACATGAAGGACGGCCAGAAGATAACATTCCATGGTGAAGGAGACCAAGAACCAGGACTGGAACCAGGAGATATTATCATTGTTTTAGATCAGAAGGACCACGCTGTTTTTACTCGACGAGGAGAAGACCTCTTCATGTGTATGGACATACAGCTGGTTGAAGCACTGTGTGGCTTTCAAAAGCCAATATCTACTCTTGACAACCGAACCATCGTCATCACCTCTCACCCAGGTCAAATTGTCAAGCATGGAGATATCAAGTGTGTGCTAAATGAAGGCATGCCAATTTATCGTAGACCATATGAGAAGGGTCGCCTAATCATTGAATTTAAGGTAAACTTTCCTGAGAATGGCTTTCTCTCTCCTGATAAACTTTCTTTGCTGGAAAAACTCCTACCTGAGAGGAAGGAAGTAGAAGAGACTGATGAAATGGACCAGGTAGAACTGGTGGACTTTGATCCAAATCAGGAAAGACGGCGCCATTACAATGGGGAAGCCTATGAAGATGATGAACATCATCCCAGGGGTGGTGTTCAGTGTCAGACCTCTTAATGGGGCCAGTGAATAACACTGCTGGCATTTTATATGCAGTAGTGAATGAGTGAAGGACTATAATCATAGCTCACTACTTGCTATTGTTTTTGTTTTAATATTCAACTATAGTAGTGTTTTAAATGAAGAATAAACTCAAATATAAAAGCTCAAAAAAAAAAAAAAGAATTGGAAGTCTAGTCAGATAGGCTGCCTCATTAATAATGCAAGATAGATTACACAAATAGCATTAGAGGAACAAATAATTTAACATGAGAGTTCAGACTAGATTGAGATTACTTCAAGCACAGGAAGGATTCATTTAGGCTGTGGCATAAAATTGACTTTGAATAAGTTTCTATAATTTGATATACAGATAGTAACAGCATGGCATTTTATGTAAACAAATGAGAAAACCTGGAGGCCCAAAGAACTATGGGAAATAGAAGACCACCAAGGAATGAAAGTTCTATGAGGCAGAAGCTGTATCCGTCTTGTTTATTGCTGGGTCCCTAATGAAAGGACTGGCATGTAGTAAACTCTTACTATTGCTGGAATAAATGCAAGAATGAATGCATGTATGGATGAGTAGCTTAGTTGTAGTTACATAAAATGTCTAGCATTAGGTGAATAACTAAAAAGTACAAGACCAGAAGAAAATGTATAAATGTAACCACCACCATAATCAGGATACAGAACATTTTATCATCCCACCCACCCCCCAACACACACAAATTTCCACTTGCCTCTTTATAGTCAGTTCTCTTATTCCATCTGCCCTTGGCCACAGCCTGTTACTGATCTGTTGTTACTATCAATTGATTCCCCCGTTTTATTAATGCTTATACATATATTAGAAACAGACACATAGGTGACCTATTTTGGGGAGTGAACAATCATGGGCCTTGAAAGGACTCCAATTAATAGGTTCAAGAAAACATTTGATAAGATAAAGAGTTCACTGGAGAGTTATTTTAAAAAGGAATAAAATGAAAATTCTAGAAATGAAAACTAAATAATTTAAGAGCTCAATATGGGTTGAAGGTAGATTAAATCAGAAAAAAGGATTAACAAGTAGTAAAATAGGTCAGTAGAAGATATTAATGATAAAATGGAAAGAAAAGGGAAAATATTAAAAAAGAGCTTAATATATGAGAAATGGTAAAAAGTTCTGGGGTTTTGTTTCATGCCTTAAAACATGGAGGTTTTTTTGGTTATTCCTTTACCCCATGCCATTCCCCTAAGACTTCCACTGGTTAGTGGCATGTCCCCAAGCTTGTGGGGAGTAGTAGCTCCAGAATTCTTCTCCAGCATAATAAAAATTTGAGCCAGATGTTGAAGGTAGAAATGAGAGTAGAGTACAAATAAATCTCTTTATAAGATGAGGCCAGTAATAAAAATTTTGTAACACTTTAACAAGGTCAAATGAGTATTTTTTATGTATACTTTTAGTTAATATTTCATCAAAGTGTTCAATAAAATGCACCCATCTTAAAATATAAGGCAATATGTGTGATAAATGTTTAGAACATTTCCACCATCCCAAAAAGTGATTTCCATGTATTGGGGGATTTTTCATGTATCTCTTTTTAAATTTATTACTGATTTCCACAGTAGTCAGATAATATATTCTGTGTAAGTTCAATCATTTTAAAATTTATTGAGAATAATTTTATGATATCATATGGCTTATCTTAGTAAAGTTTTGTGTACACTTGAAAAATATATGTATTCTGCTGTTGTTGGGTGAAGTGTTCTATAAATGTCTGTTAGCTCAGTGGGTGGATAGTGATGTTCAAACTATCTATATCCTTACTGATATCTTTACCTACTTGTTTTACTGAGAAGAATGTTGAAATTCCACACTATGACTCTGGATTTGTCTATTTTTCCTTTAAGCTGATGAGTATTTGCTTCATAAATTTTGGAGCTTCTCTGTTAGGTACATACTATTTAGCACTTTTGTTCTTAATAAACTGACCCTTTTATTGTTACTAAGCATTAGTCTTTATGAATGGTCAAATTCCTTATCCTGAAGTCTACTTTTGTGAAATTCAATAGCCACCACCACTTTCTTATGATTAGTAAATTGTATATATTTTTTCATCCTTTTATTTAAAAATATATGTGCTCTATGTTTTAAATGTGTTTCTTATAAACAGAACATAGTTGCCTTTTTATCAGTCTAACACAATCATTGCCTTTTATTTGGAGTTACACAAAATGTTTATATTTACTTTTTGATCTGGATGTGTTTAAGTCTAGAATCATTCTATTTATTTTATACTTGTTGCTTCTGTTCTTCATTTTTCTCCTTGTCTTTTTTTCTGATTACTTTTTATTATTTAGTTTTATGTCCTTTCTTGACTTATAAGCTGTATCTCTATTTTGCTCTTTAGTGGTTGCTCTAAGATTTACAGTATACAATTTTAATATATCATTGTCTATATTCAAATATTATTACAGTGCTTCACGTATGATGTATGAATCTTACAACAATATACCTCCATTTCCCCCTCCTTTTCTTTGTGCTATGGCTGCCATATGTTTTACCTCCATATATGTTACAATTCATTGTTATAAGTCTTATGCTATAGCCTCAAATCTAAAGAATTTTTAAAGTGAAAATATTTTATATTTTTTGCACATTTTAAACATTTCTTACATTCTTTTTAATATTTGAAGATCCAGGTTTCCATCTAAAGAGCTTTAATACATCTTATAGTGTAGGTCTGCAGACCTCAAATTCTCTTAGGTACTGTTTGTATGAAAATGTTTTTGGTTTCCTTTTACTTTTGAAGGATATTTTACTACATGTAAAATTATAATTGCTTTTAGCAACTTTGTCAGTAACAACTTTGTCTACTGATATACACTTTTTGTTTTTTCTTTTTTCCTCATGAAAAGTCAGAGATCATGCTTATCTTTGTTTTGTTATATGTATTGTGACTTATTTCTCTGGCTGCTTTGAAGTTTTCCCTTTACTGTTTTCCAGGGGTATGATTTCTCTCTGTTTATCTTGTTTAATGTCCATTGACTTCTTGAATTTTCATCACTTTGAAAAAAAAATTAGCTGTTATTTTTTTACACATTGTTTTGGCCCACTCATTTTTTTTCTTGTTTTTTGTTTTCTTATACTCAAATGACATGTATGTTTGACCACTTGATGTTGCTCTACAAATCACTGAGGCTTTTTACATTTTGTTTGTTTTCTTTCTTTCTTCCTGTGTGCCTCAGTTTAAATAGTTTCTATTGTTAGGACTTGAAATTCACTGATATGTTCTTCAGTGTTAAGTACAAAAGACTTACTTTTAAGTCTACCCAGTTATTTTTTTCTATACACACACACACACATATATGTATGTAATGTATATATAAATATACATATATTTAATTTTAAGGTCTTTGTCTATTCTTTAATTTCTATCATTTCTATGCCTGTTTTTACATAGATGGTTATAGATGACATTTTTCCAAGTCTTTACATTCTATTAATTTTGGATCATATTCTGGCCATTGTGATAGGATTATATATATATGATATCTATAGTGTGAACCAGACTAACAGTATCTTAAACAAATCTACCAAGATGACCATTCTGTGACTTGAAAGCTTCTTGAGCACAGACCCCCCTCCCCCTTTCCACATTCTTTCCTTTTGTTTAACTACTACCCTTAAGTACACCCTCAGGGCAAGATCACTACCCTTGATCTTCCCTAGAGACATGACTATGACACACACCTATTCTTAAACATTCTCTTCTTGGGTGGTTCCTCAGCATGTACTCCCAGCTTCTAGGGCTATAAAAGCAGGTCTTAAGGGAGGTGGGGTTACAGAGATCTACTCATCTTGCAGCTGCTTAAGACAGGATTCTGTCCAGTAAGTCCCCTTAATAAACCATTTCTCATCAAGCTGGACTTGTCATGCTTTGGTCTTATAGCCCCTTTGGCTTCTAGAGGTCATTTTGCATATACCTCCCTTTCACAGGTATATATACATATATTGAATTTTGTTGTCTTTATTTAAAAATTATTGAAGTTTATTTTGGTAGGCAAGTAAATCACTTGCCAATCAATTTGATCTTGTTAAATCAATTTTAATCTTTATTAGAAAAGTTTTAGACTAGCCTTTTGTCCTGTGTAGCATTACTACTAAGGTCTGACTCCTGGGTCTCTAATAAATACCTTGAATTTTTATTGAGCATTCTACTCTCTGGGCGGTTGGAAGATGAATATCTTCTACCCCTGTGTGAGCTCAGGAATTGTGTAGTTAATAATCTTGTTTGTTTGTTGCTTGGTATCATTGAACTTCACTTTACATATATACAACTTGGTCTTTAGCAACACACCCAAGTAGACCTCTATACAGATTTCTGAGGTACTCCCTCTGTATAACTCACTCCTTCCAGGTCCCTGGCCTGAAAATTCTTCCTGCCTCAACTTTCTCACAGTTGAATCTCTATTTCCTCAACTCAACAAAACTACCTTGATCTGATTCAGTCCCTCCTCCCAGAACTGCGTTCTTGGAAGAGTCTACTGAAGTGAAGCCAGGGAAATTATAGGGTTTACCTCATTTGTGCTCCTTTTATGAGAGATAAGAGTCCGTTGGCTCCTATTTTCCAATGCTTGGTAACAGTTTCATGTCTTTTTATTAAATTTTCCTTTTTTCTTGTGAAAGACAAGGTAATTATTTTTTGAAATTTCCAGTTAATAATACTACATATGGTGCCAATAGAAAAAGATACTGAAATTTTGCATATTTGGTTCAAAATTAAAATTTCTATTTGGCTTTAGTAATGTGATATTTTTTAAAAATTATTTATTTATTTATTTGACAGCGACACAGTGAGAGAGGGAACAAAAGCAGGGGGAGTGGAAGAGGGAGAAACAGGCTTCCCACTGAGCCTGATGCGGGGCTCGATCCCAGGACTCTGGGATCATGACCTGAGCTGAAACTAGACAATGACTGAGCCACCCAGGTGCCCCAGTAATGCAATATTTTAATATAATAAAACAATCAGTGAAGTGCCAGAAATTATGGATAAAAATGAATTAGAAAGTTTTTGTAATTTTACTTTTAAAATCTTGTTGACTATTAAACCTAGTGTCAGAACAGAATCCCCAAATCATTGATTCTCAAATTTTATAGTATACAAGAATCTGCAGGAATCTTTGCCAAGGAGCAGA